CTCCAGTCCTTATGACAGGTGAGCCTCAAAGTTGGTTTGCACGCAGCTACCTATTCTCCTCGCATTGGCACTGTTGGGATGAACGCATTTATGTTTAGTTTGCCCTTTTAGTGTTAACTCACACCAGGTCTTTCGGGTCCGCCCGTCCGTGAAGGAAAAACATTCTTTTCCTTGTACGGGTGCTTTTCCATACAGCCGTGGACTACAAAGGTTTTCGAGTTGTAGTAATCCCGCTGCCTGAGTCCGTACCAGAAATCGTCGAGTGGCCTCAGCCTCTATCTTCTCGTGTTCGCCACGTGAGCCGCTAAAAGTGCTCGGCATTTTGTCCTCACGGTGACTCCCATTTAGTAGCACTTTGTATCAGTATAGGCTTGCCCCAAGATAAAAAAGCACAGTGCTACTTCTTTATTCCTGTTCTGCAGGAGGTCTCCTTTATCGAAAATAAACTCAACATTTGCAACCTGTTGAAACCAGTTTCACCTGAAAACCCACCTCACGACGTGACTGTCCTCTTGTCAGTGAAAAACAGGGGCGTTGACATGATGATGCTCTACCGGGTAAGTCTGAACCGTCCTTCCGGACTGCATATTCTCCCGACTTTTCAATATTCTTACGCTTTTGACCTGCTGTCTCCGCAGACATGCTACGCGGTACCCCTTTTTCCTGGGAAGGAAGCAAGTGACTCTCGACCTTCCATCTCCCAGCGTCTCCGAACTGTTCCTTTTGAATATTCCGCCGACATGGAAATGGCCTTAAAAAATTGTCAACAAATTTCCCAGCAGACACCAGCTAAGGTCAGCTTGGCAAGGGACTGACTGAAAAGATTTGATGTTTGCCTGGACCACCTCGGAGAGATCCAAAGTACAACGTGAATTGCTCTACCTTTGTTCGCTTTTAGAGGGCCATTCCATGCCTCGCGTGGCATGCTTGTGCCGCATTCCTTGTTTCGTTTGCTGTGCAGCCGATTGCCCCGGGCCAAGCGTATCAGGATGCGATTGTCCGGTCCCCTTTTAGTCGCTTATACTCCCCAATAGGCGAACTGTAAGACATATATGCCTTTTGAGCAGATGTGGCCCGTGAAACGCCAGCAATATCTTGGACCGGCATGTTCTAGAAAACAACCCTTACCAGCTTCTCGTAAGTGTGTGCATAAATTTGCTCCGGATGCAGCGTTCACTTCATTACCAACGCCTACAGCCGCTCGTACAGAGGAAACGTCGAGCCTGTCGTCTGCGGAAGTGGGCTCTCTGGGAGGAAGGCCC